ACCTGGATTTCAGTAAGGCCTTCTACAAGGTCCCCCATGACCTTCTGGCAAGGAAACTAGTCCAATGTGGGCTAGGCAAAACTACGGTGAGGTGGATCAGTAACTGGTTAAATGGACGAACCCAGAGGGTGGTTCTCCACAAGGCTTCCTCCTCTTCATCCTGGAAGGAAGTGACGAGCAGAGTCCTATCAGCAAGGTTCCCTCCTGGGCTCGGTCTTGCTCAGGATCTTCATTCATGATTTAGATGAAGGGCTAGAAGGCAGGATCATCCAGTTTGCAGATGGGACCAAATGGGGAGGGAGAGCCAAGGCTCCAGAGGACAGGAGCAGGATTCAAAACGATCTTGACAGATTAGAGAGATGGGCCAAAACTAAAAAAAAAAGTTCAACAGTGACAAATGCAAGATACTCTACTTAGGCAGAAAAAACAAAATGCAAAGATACAGAATGGGGGACAATGCCTGGCTCGAGAGTAGTATGTGTGAAAAAGATCTTGGAGTCCTCGTGGACAACAAGTTAAACATGAGCTAACAATGTGGCGGCAAAAAAAGCCAATGGGATTTTGGCCTGCATCAATAGGAGCATAGTGTCTAGATCTAGGGAAGTAATGCTATCCCTCTATTCCACTTTGGTTAGACCACACCTGGGATATTGTGTCCAATTCTGGGCACCACAGTTAAAGAGAGATATTGACAAGCTGGAATGTGTCCAGAAGAGGGCGACTAAAATGATTAAGGGTCTGGAGAACAAGCCCTATGAGGAGCGGCTTAAGGAGCTGGGCATGTCTAGCCTGAAGAAGAGAAGGCTGAGAGGAGATATGATAGCCATGTATAAATATGTGAGAGGAAGCCACAGGGAGGAGGGAGCAAGCTTGTTCTCTGCTTCCCTGGAGACTAGAACGCAATGGAGCAATGGCTTCAAACTACAAGAAAGGAGATTCCATCTGAACATGAGGAAGAACTTCCTGACTGTGAGAGCTGTTCAGCAGTGGAACTCTCTGCCCCAGAGTGTTGTGGAGGCTCCTTCTTTGGAAGCTTTTAAACAGAGGCTGGATGGCCATCTGTCGGGGGTGCTTTGAATGCAATATTCCTGCTTCTTGGCTGAATAGGGTTGGACTGGGTGGTCCACGAGGTCTCTTCCAACTCTAGGGTTCTATGATTCTATGGTGCAAAGCGACATTCATTCTATGGTCTAGATCAGTGATTCTCAACCTTCCTCATGCCTTGAACCCTTAATACAGTTCCTCAGGTTGTGGTGACCCCTCAACCATAAAATTATTTCCGTTGCTACTTCATAACTGTCATTTTACTCCTGTTCTGAATCATCACGTAAATACCTGATTTTGCAGGATGTATTTTCATTCACTGGACCAAATTTGGCACAAATACCCGATACGCCCAAATTTAAATACTGGTGGGGTTGGGGGAGGGTATTGATTTTGCCATTTGGGAGTTGTAGTTGCTGGGATGTATAGTTCACCTACAATCAAAAAGCAATCTGAACGCCACCAAGGACGGACTCGGGCCAAACTTCCCACACAGAACTCCCACAACCAACAGAAAACCCTGAAAGGGTTTTGGTGTGCCTTGACCTTGAGTTTTGGAGTTGTAGTTCACCTAACTCCAGAGAGCACTGTGAAATCTGGACCCAGCCCACAGTGGATCTGCACCAAACTTGGCACACTACTTACATGGCCAGCATTGGGGTTGGAGGGGGGGATTGTTTTTGAATTCTGGGAGTTGTAGTTCACCAACATCAAAAAGGAAGTGAAGGACAGGTGGAGAGATCTTCAGCCTTCTCTACCAAGAGATTTCCTAAGATCTGAAACTCCCTTCGCAACCCCCAGGTTGAGAAACACTGAGTTGAGGTATATCCACTAAAATCAAAGGGATTTTAGTTTGCACATAGACACACAAACGAGGAAGGGATGTGTCATTTTCTCTAGCGCATCCAAAACACAGAATTGTATTGAGGCTTAATCATATTTAAGAGTATTAACTGCTTTAAGTTTGGCATGTGCCTGAGCAAATGCCCATAAACCTCTGCATAGCCAAGCCTCATAAATGAAAATAACTATATCCAGGTGCCAGCGTCGGATAATGTTTTGGGCATTGCATTGTGACTTTTGCTCCTGATCTGAATCACAATGTCAATATCTGAGATGCAGGATGTATTTTCATCCACTGGCCCGAATCTGGCACAAATACCCCATCCACCCAATACTGGTGGGGGTAGGAGGGATTGATTCTGTCATTTTGGAGTTGTAGTTGCTGGGATCTACAGTTCACCTCCAATCAGAGAGCCTTCTGAACTCCACCAAAAATGGAATTGAACCAAACTTGGCGCACAGAACTCCCATGACCAACAGAAAATACTGGAAGGGCTTGGTGGGCAGTGTCCTTTGGTTTTGGAGTTGTAGTTTACCTACATCCAGAGAGTACTGTGGACTCAAACAATGATGGATCTGGACCAAACTCTACACGAATATTCAATATGGCCAAACACTGGTGGCGTTTGGGGAAAAGACACCTTGACATTTGGGAGCTGTAGTTGCTGGGATTTATAGTTAACCTACAATCAGAGAGCATTCTGAACTTCACCAATGATGAAATTGAACCAGCCCTGGTCGCACAGAACTCCCATGACCAACAAAAAATACTGGAAGGGTTTAGTGGTAATTGCCCTTGAATTTGGGAGTTGTAGTTCACTTAAATCCAGAGAGTACTGTGGACTCAAACAATGTTGAATCTGGACCAAATTTGGCACGAATACTCAATATGGCCAAACACTGGTGGAGTTTGGGGAAAATACACATTGACATTTGGGAGTTGTGGTTACTGGGATTTATAGTTCACCTACAACCAAAGAGCATTCTGAGCTCCACCAACGATGGAATCAAACCAAATTTGGCACGCAGAACTCCCATGACCAACAGAAAATACTGGAAGGGTTTAGTGGGCATTGACCTTGAGTTTGGGAGTTGTAGTTCACCTACATTCAGAGAGTACTGAGGACTCAAACAAGGATGGATCTGGACCAAACTTGGCACAAATACTCAGTATGGCCAAACACTGGTGGAGTTTGGAGAAAATACACCTTGACATTTGGGAGTTGTAGTTGCTGGGATTTATAGTTCACTTACAATCAAAGAGCATTTTGAACTCCACCAGCGATGGAATTGGGCCAAACTTCCCACACAGAACCCCCAGGACTAACAGAAAACATTGTATTTTCTGATGGTCTTTGGCGATCCCTCTGACACCCCCTCACGACCTCCCCCCCCCCTCCGGGGTCCCGACCCCCAGGTTGAGAAATGCTGCTCTAAGATATGTTCCTGAACAGAAAGACAGTTTCCCCCTCATACCATGCCTTCGGGGTTTGAGTCCCATGCTTGCCCCCAAATGCCCCAAAGGAGAATATGCCGCATGTTTTTGGGGTGCGCCAGGAGTTTTGAGAAGGAAGGCGTGACTCCCCATGGCTTCTGGGCCTCCAAAGGGTGGCTCCCCAGCCGTTGCTCACGAAGGGTTTCCTCTCCGCAGGATCCCAACTGGTACAAAGCAAGGAACAAAGTGGGCCGGGAGGGCATCATCCCCGCCAACTACGTTCAGAAACGGGAAGGCGTCAAAGCCGGGATCAAGCTGAGCCTTATGCCGTGAGTATCGCCTCTCGCGTTGCGTTCGCTTTGCCCTCCCTTTCCTTTCCTCATTGGCTTGATTTGAGAAATCACACCCTGCTGCGCCTCTGTTCCTTTCCAACTTAGGATGAAAATATCATGGGTTTTCTGGCCATGTTCTAGAAGCATGCTCTCCTGACGTTTTGCCTGCATCTATGGCAGAGGTGCTGAGGTCTGAGGATGCCTGCCACAGATGCAGGCAAAACATCAGGAGAGCATGCTTCTAGAACATGGCCAAAAACTAGGAAAATTTGATACTGAATTTCTAAGGCTAGAAATGATAGGAATAGCTCCCATTTTTATCTGTATTCACAATCTTAACAAGAAAGCAGATGGAAAAAATCTGAGATGGAAAAAATTATACCTGTGGAATAATGTCCAGGAGAGCATGTCCAGAGAGAAAGAACTCTTGTCAGCTTGAGGCAGGTATGAATGTTGCAGTTGGTCACCTTGATTAGCATTTAATGACCTTGCAGCTTCAAAACCTGGCTGATTGCTGTCTGGGGGAATCATTTGTTGGGAGGTGTTAGCTGGCCTTGATTGTGTTGTTGAAGGCTTTCATAGCTGGAATCACTGGGTTGCTTTCCGGGCTGTCTGGCCATGTTCCAGAAGCATGCTCTCCTGATGTTTCACCCACATCTATGGCAGGCATCCTCAGGGGTTGTGGGGTCTGTTGGAAACTAGTCAACAGGGGTTTGTATCCCTGTGGAATGATGTCAAGGGTGGGAGAAAGAACTCTTGTCTGCTTGAGGCAGGCGTGAATGTTGCAATTGGCCACCTTGATTAGCATTGAATGGCCTTGCAGCTCTAAAGCCTGGCTGATTGCTGTCTGGGGGAATCATTTGTTGGGAGGTGTTAGCTGGCCTTGATTGTGTTGTTGAAGGCTTTCATAGCCAGAATCACTGGGTTGCTGTGAGTTTTCCATACTGCCTGGCCATGTTCCAGAAGCATCTCTCTTGACTTTTCGCCCACATCTATGGCAGGCATCCTCAGGGGTTGTGGGGTCTGTTGGAAACTAGGCAAGCGAGGTTTATGTATCTGTGGAATTATGTCCAGGGTGGGAGAAAGAAAGAACTCTTGTCTCTTGGAGGCTGTTTCAATTGGCTACCTTGATTAGCATTTAATGGCCTTGCAGCTTCAAAGCCTGGCTGATTGCTTAAAATGAACAAAATCCGGCTACCCGTTTTTTAAAAACAACTCTAAAATCAGGACAGTATATAAAGAGCAACACCAAAAATGCAGGGGAATTCCAGACAAGAATAAATTAGGGCCCGCTAACACCTCCAAACAAAGGATTTCCTCCCCAGGTGGCAATCAGCCAGGCTTTGAAGCTGCAAGGCTTCATCTGATTTTAAAAATCGACTGATGTGACCTCCAAGCCAAAATTTCTCTCCCAGTATCTAGTCTTATGAAAATACTAGGAAAATGTGAGTATGCTGCAGGGTGGCGGCACAGGCATTTTCATAGAGTTGGGGGAGTCTCCGGGGGGCCATCCAGTCCAACCCCCTGCCATACAGGAAGGCATAGTCCGAGCCCTCCTGACAGATGGCCACCCAGTCTCTTCCTCTCATCTGATTTTTTTTTCTCATTCTCCCCCAGTTGGTTCCATGGGAAGATCACCCGTGAGCAGGCCGAGCGGCTGCTGTACCCGCCGGAGACGGGCCTTTTCCTGGTGCGGGAAAGCACCAACTACCCCGGCGACTACACTCTCTGCGTCAGCTGCGAAGGGAAGGTGGAGCACTACCGCATCATCTACTCCTCCAGCAAGCTCAGCATCGACGAAGAGGTCTACTTTGAGAACCTCATGCAGCTGGTCGAGGTGAGTTGGAGGCCTTTGCGTTGGCAGGGTGTGGGCGAGGAGGACCTTGTGGGATGCGTACCCTGTGTGCTCAGAAAGAAGCCTAATAATAATAATAATAATAATAATAATAATCTTTATTTATTACCCTGCCACCATCTCCCCAATGAGGACTCGGAGCAGCTTACATGAGGCCAACCCCAAATAACAATTACAATAAAAAAAAACCAAAAACACAAGCCAAAAACGCGAACAATAAACAATAATTTATTATTTATTTATTTCGCGCATTTCTACCCCCCCCCCTCAACCCCCGAGGGGGGACTCAGGGTGGCTTACAAAGGCACAATTTGATGCCAGTGTAAACATGACAATCGATAAAACATGTAAACAGCAATTATAACAATTAAGACAGTCAGTTTATACATCAAAATCAATCAAAACAATAAAGACAATCTAATGCTCAGCATTCGCCATCTCAGAGTCCGTAAATTCATTCCACATTGTCAAGTACTATCGATTCTGGTTGTCATTGTCCTTATCTAACCGCCAGATTGCCCGAAAGCCTGGTCCCACAACCATGTTTTTAATTTCCTTCTGAAAAAGAGGAGGGATGTCGATGACATAATTACATAATTACATAATTTGTGTAAATGTTAAACATTGATGGTGCAACCTGGTTTTTCTTTTAGTAGGCAGTAAGAGCACCTAAGTCTTCAGAGAGCTTCTGTTCAACCATTTCAAAGCTCCCTGCTTGGGCGGTGATGGCATGATCATCAGCATAGATGAAACTCTTTGTCCCTTTTGGCAATGGCTGGTCATTTGTGTAAATGTTAAACACTGATGGAGGAAACAACGCTCCCCTGAGGCAGGCCGTTGTTCTGTTGTTGCCACCTGCTTCTCTGGCCCTGGAACTCAACAAAAAGCTCCTGTTTTGCATCAGATTTGGGGCTGCAGTTCCCTTAATCCAGATAGCACGAATGGGCCTCGGTTTCTGCCTTCTGTCTGGGGAGTCCTTTTTTAAAAAAAAAAAAACCTGTGAAGGGCGCAAGCCAAGGAAGGGCCGCTCCTGGAGTTAAGCCGCTTGCCTAGCAACCTCGCCTGCATTTGTTTGCAAAATCTGCCTTTCAAATCTTCCACCTGCTCATTTGGGTTTGCGGCTGCCGGGTGTGCTTGCTTCCTTCTCATGTCTTGGCCCTTCACGCCTACATTGACATATCCTGGCCTGCATCGATGCTTGGGGGATGATGGGAGTTGTTAAGGGAACGCTTCCCAAGGGGAAAGGTGTTCGAAAGACTGCTCACCCAGCTTCAAATTCCACACCAATGGAGAGAGAAAGAAACACTGGGATGTCTGTGGTGGAGGAAAGGGTTATGGGAGAGGCAGTGGGTGGGATTGTGCAAATTCCACACCAATGGAGAGAGAAAGGAACACTGGGATGTCTGGTGGAGGAAAGGGTTAAGGGAGAGGCAGTGGGTGGGATCATGCAAATTCCACACCAGTGGAGAGAGAAAGGAACACTGGGATGTCTGTGGTGGAGGAAAGGGTTAAGGGAGAGGCAGTGGGTGGGATCGTGGATTTGACAATGTGGAATGAACTTACGGATTCTGAGCTGGCGAACGTTGAACATTAGATTGGTTTTTATTGATTGTGATGTATAACTTGATTGTTTTAATTGTTTTATAATTGCTGTTGATACATGCTTTATCTTATTGTCTGTTGTTGGCATCGAATTGTGCCTTTTGTAAGCCGCCCTGAGTCCCCCCTCGGGGGTTGAGAAAGGCAGGGTAGAAATGCGCGAAATAAATCGTGCAAATTCCACACCAATGGAGAGAGAAAGGAACACTGGGATGTCTGTGGTGGAGGAAAGGGTTAAGGGAGAGGCAGTGGGCGGGATTATGCTAATTCCACACCCGTGGAGAGTTGTAGTTCATCCTGCAGCTGGAGAGCACACTGACCTCCACCAAGGATGCCTCTATGTAGAGCAAATATGCCCAACATGACAAACTTTTAAGTATTGATGGATTTTCAGGCCTTGTTGCACCAGAGACCGTTTACGTTCTGGGTTCAAAACAAGAAGTGTGTTTAATGTATTGTTGAAGGCTTTCATGGCTGGAATCACTGGATTCTTGTAGGTTTTTCCAGGCTATATGGCCATGTTCTAGAGGCATTCTCTCCTGACGTTTTGCCTGCATCTATGGCAAGCATCCTAGGATGCTTGCCATAGATGCAGGTGAAATGTCAGGAGAGAATGCTTCTAGAACATGGCCATATAGCCCAGAAAACCTACAAGAACCCAGAAGTTTGTTTGTCTTGCCATGTGGCCAAGAGGTGGGCCTAAGGCTTACCAACACAAGAACCATGCTGTTGTTATTCTCAGTCACAGCCTTTGAAGCTCAAAGACCTGCAAAGTGCTTCTTCCGGGGCCTCTCCTCCCTTTGCAGAGGCAGGAAGGAGCTCGGAGCCAGTCTGAAAGTCACTCCCCTGCCTGCCTTTTGGCCAAAACATGGGCCCTTTTGAAAAGGTGCCTTTTGGAGCCCTGTCAAGGGTTGCAGGCAGGGGGCAGGGCCAGGTCCAAGCAAGGATTGAGCCTCTGCAGGCAATCGCTGGGTGGACTGCAGAGAAAGACATGCACACAACCCCCTGGGATGTTCTAACAGTTGCATCCACACATTGTGAGCGTGGAACTCAATGGGCGTTTTGGTAGCTCCCGGGTGCCTCCTGGCGGAAGGAGTGTGCCGCTGCCTCATGTTTGGAAGAGCGTCCAGCATCTTTGATTGAAGTGGCAAGAAAGGGGATTCCAAGCTCAATATTAGGGAGAGGTTGTTTATTAAATAGTGTGTTGTCGAAGGCTTTCATGGCCAGAATCACTGAGTTTGCTGTGAGTTTTCCGGGCTGTCTGGCCATGTTCCAGAAGCATCCAGGGGCCAGGAAGGCAGTTCCATCTTGCCTCCAGGGTCATCCGTTGGGAGCTCCCCCACCCAGGACCAACCGCTGCTCTGAGATCAGAAAGAAGAGAGGGGGCAGGAAGGCAGTTCCATCTTGTGTCCTGCACTGTGCATATAATATAATATAATATAATATAATATAATATAATATAATATAATATAATATAATATAATATAATATAATATAATATAATATAATATTTATTATATTATATTATATTATATTATATTATATTATATTATATTATATTATATTATATTATATTATATTATATTATATTATATTATATTATATTATTATATTCGCAGCTTGGGGGTCCTCCTGGACTCATCACTGAGCCTGGAATCCCGGTGGCCAGGGGAGCATTTGCACAATTATAACTTGTGCGCCAGCTGCGCCGGTACCTTGGGAAGTCAGACTTGGCCACCGTGGTCCACGCTCTTGTTACACCTAGGATAGACTACTGCAATAGACTCTACGTGGGGTTGCCTTTGAAGACTACTCGAAAGCTTCAACTAGTCCAAGGAGAGGCAGCTAGGTTAATAACTGGGGCGGCATACAGGGAGAACACAACTCGCATATTACGCCAGCTCCACTGGCTGCCAGTTTGCAATCGTGCACAATTCAAAGTGCTGGCTTTGGCCTAGAAAGCCCTCAACGGCCCCGGCCCAGTTTACCTGTCCGAATGCATCTCCCCCTATGAAATACCGCAGAGATTAAGATCCTCCAGGGAGGCCCTGCTCTCCATCCGCCATTGTCACAGGCACGATTGGTGGAGACGAGAGAGAGGCAGGGCCTTCTCGGTGATTGCCCCCCAGATATGGAACTTCCTTCCTAGTGACATCAGTTCAACCCCTCCCTCCTGTCCTTTAGAAGGATGGTCAAAACTTGGCTGTGGGACCAAGCTTTTGGGTCAGGGTAATAAAGGAGCAATAGGAAAGATGACCAGGCCTATTAGACTTGACGCAGATGACTAGAACGGTTTTAAATGTTGTATTTTAATGTTTTGATAAAAAAAATTAATATTTATGCATGTGTATGTGAATTTGTGTCCCGGCATTGAATGTTTTTGGTTTGCTTTGAGTTAGATAATTGTACTTGTTATGCTGTTGTTTTATTGAGGGCCTTGGCCTTTGTAAGCCACATCGAGTCCTTCGGGAGATGTTAGCGGGGTACAAATAAAGTTAATAATAATAATAATGTTTGCCGTATATATGCTGTGCTCCGCCCTGAGTCCCCTGAGTTGGGGTGAGAAGGGCGGAATACGTTTTAAATAAATAAATCAATAAATCTAAAACTCTTTCATGTCCGTTTCCCCTTGTCTTCTTTGGCAGCATTATACTTCGGATGCAGACGGACTCTGTACCCGACTCATCAAGCCAAAGGTCATGGAAGGCACGGTGGCGGCTCAGGACGAGTTCTCCCGCAGTGAGTGTCCTGCCAAAGGTTGGGCGGGCTCTTCCCTTTCCATGTCCCTCATCCTTATGCTTCTTCGACTTCTTTTGCATCCTTCCAGGTGGATGGTCCCTCAACATGAAGGACTTGAAGCTGCTACAAACCATTGGCAAAGGGGAGTTTGGAGGTAAGCTGGCCAGGGTTGATGGTGGCACAGCCCAGGCTATTCTCTTGAAGCAGCACGGGATTTCATGCACCGAGGATGGGTGACTGTTGCTTGGGACTTGGAGTGGACGGTCATCAATTGAGGTTGTGGCCTTCAAGTCCTTCTTGATTTACGGCAACCCCATCAAATGACTTCCTAGGCCAGAGAGTGTGTGACTTGCCCAGCCGTTCCCTCGTTTCTCTCTGAAAAATCCTATCCCAGTTACATTTTACCTGTTCACGTCAGCATATTTTCAATTTTAATCTATTACATTTGGCCCAGCCATTTTTAATATGTTATTATTGATTGTTGTTTTTGTTATGTGATTTATATGATTTGTATTTTATTGATTGTTTATTAATGTTGTGTTATTGGTGTGTTTGATGTACTTCGGCCTCGGCCTCATGTAAGCTCCACCGAGTCCCTTGGGGAGATGGTAACGGGGTATAAATAAAGTTTATTATTTATAATTATTATCCGGTATCATGGCCAAATAATAATAATAATAACAACAACAACGTTTATTTATATTCCGCCTTCCTCACCCTGAAGGGGACTCAGGGCGGATCGCAGTACACATACACGGCAAACATTAAATGCCACTTTGTGTAGACAATACAGACAGACAGAACAGAAGGAGGTGCCATGGAAGGTTGGGCTCGAGTCCAGGGAGTGCTGTTGCTCTATCCTCTGTGATGAAGAGCCGTCAGGACTTCCTCCTTCCTTTTGTTCGCCCAGCATTTTCTGATCTTCTTTCTTTATGGTGTCGTAAAACACCTCCCCTGCTTTTAGCAGTACCTAATTTCTCTAATCATAGCTAAAGCTGTTTTCCAATTGCTTAGGTAAACAATGAGCTAGGCTGACAGTTGGCAACTCACGCCAAACTGGGGATTTGAAATTGCAACTTTTTGGTTGATAGATCTTATAATTGCTGATGACTTACCAGCTGTGCTAAACCTCCACCCCAAACAGGGATTTGAACCTTGGTCTCTGGAGTGGAATAGTCTCACTCTCAGACCACCATGCCGTGTCAGGGTCACTTCAAACAAGACCTTGAATGTCTATTCATTCTTCTATGCCTCTGATCAAAACCTATTGAAGTCTCATCGAAGGCTTTCATGGCCGGAATCACTGGGTTGCTGTCAGATTTCCGGCTGGGAAATTATTGTTTCCATTTGATGTTTTGTCTTATGTCTGTTATGACAGGCTGTGCTTTTATTTAATTTTAGTTTGTTAAGTGATAATTCGTATTGATATGATGGGTTGTATATATTTTGTTAGTATGGATGTATTGTTGTTGTATTTGGGCATTAAATGTTTGCCTTTTATGTTTGGCATCTGCCTGGAGTCCCTTTGGGGAGATAGAACGGAATATAAATAAAGATGATGATGATGATGATGATGATGATGATGATGATGATGATGATGATTACTGTCTGGCCATATTCCAGAAGCATTATCTCCTGATGTTTGGCCTGTATCTATGGCAGGCATCCTCAGAGGTTGTGAGGTCTGTTGGAAACTAGGAAAATGGGGGTTATATATCTTAGGAATAATGTCCAGGGTGGGAGAAATAAAGAAATAAAGAACTCTTGTCTGTTGGAGGCAGGACAGTGATATTCCAGAGCAGGCAAACCAGACATTCTCCACATCAACACTGACAAAGAAACAGCAAGAAATACTGTTTACCCACAAGCAGAAAGACATCACATATATTAGAAACCATTACTTTATTTTCCAGACACACACACACACATATATACATACATACATACACACACACACACTAGCCGTCCCCTGCCACACGTTGCTGTGGCTCAGTCTGTGTATATGTGTTTTGTTTGTATATATGTTTGTGTCTATGTTTTAATTGTGTGTTGCCTTATTGTTAATGTTGCATATCTTATTGTCCATGTTTTTTTATTTTAATTGCTTGTATTGTTGTTTTATTGCTTGCATTGTTGTATTTGGGCTCGGCCTCATGTAAGCCGCACCAAGTCCCTTGGGGAGATGGTAGAGGGGTACACATAAAGTGTTATTATTATTATTATTATTATTATTATTATTATTATTATTATTATTTTGTCGTGTCAGGAGTGACTCCTGGTGTGAGAAAATTGGCCGTCTGCAAGGACGTTGCCCAGGGGACGCCCGGATGATTTGATGTTTTTATCATCCTTGTGGGAGGCTTCTCTCATGTCCCCGCATGAGGAGCTGGAGTTGATAGAGGGAGCTCATCCGCCTCTCCCTGGATTCGAACCTGCGACCTGTCGGTCTTCAGTCCTGCTGGCACAGTGGTTTAACCCACTGCGCCACCGGGGGCTCCTATTATTATTATTATTATTATTATTATTATTATTATTATTATTATATGTGTATATATGTGTGTTTGCATGTATATATGTGGTTTTGTGCATGTGTTGAAATTTAATTTTTGTGGCGTTTTTTGGCTTTTGAAGTCCCTTCTGCTGTGTTTTTCAGTGTTTTTATGAGTGATGGTCACTCATTGGCCTAATAGGTGTCTTGTGTCCAAATCTGATGTCAATTTATCCAGTGCTTTTTGAGTTATGTTAATCCCACAAACGAACATTACATTCTATCTATCTATCTATCTATCTATCTATCTATCTATCTATCTATCTATCTATCTATCGTCATGTGTTATACATGGTGTCATTTATTTGAATGACAGACCCTCTACAACTGGGTTTGAAGCTTAACGTATTATACTGAATGGCATCACGGTGAGATAGGCCTGCCCCATTGATATCAGAAGGCGTCATTCCTTGGTCTCAGCTCTGGGGAAAGTCCCTTTGCTCGTGCTTTGGGCGCTTTGTCTTCGCTCTGACCTGCCCTTCAGCGCATTCTTCTCTCTTTTAAGATGTGATGCTGGGCGATTACCACGGGAACAAGGTTGCTGTGAAGGGCATTAAAAACGACGCCACCGCGCAAGCCTTCTTGGCCGAAGCATCCGTCATGACGTGAGTGATTGCAATGTGATTGGGGAACAAATGGCTTCAGAGGCCAGAAGAATGGGATCCAATGGGGCACCATAACCACCCCTATTTTTCAGGAACGCCGCCATCACACTTGCTCCCTGATTGTAGCTTAAACATTGCGGAAGAGCATTCTATATCAAGGAGAGAGGTTCCTCTAAAAGTCCCAAAGTGTTAAAGCTTCCTTGAGGACTCTTTTTGCTGGTTGTATCTCAAAGGCAAAATTAATTAGGAAATTATGGCCTTGGAGTGTAAGAGATTCCCCTCAATTATTCACTCGAGCTCAGTGTTTCTCAACCCCTTAATACAGTTCATGTTGTGGTGACCCCCGACCATCACAATATTTCATTACTACTTCATGACTATAAACTTGCTCCTGTTATGAATAATAATGTAAATATCTGATATGCAGGATGTATTTTCATTCACTGGACCAAATTTGGCACAAATACCTGATACACCCACATCTGACTTTTTTCATTTGGCAGTTGTAGTTGCTGGGATTTATAGTTCACCGACAATCAAAGAGCGTTCTGAAGTCCACCAACAATGGAATTGAACCAAACTTGGCACACAGAACTCCCATGACCAACAAAAAAGAGCCCCTGCTCTCGCCTCTATTGCAAGTGAGATTGGCGGGGACAAGGAGCAGGGCCTTCTCGGTGGTGGCCCCTCACCTATGGAGTTCACTCCCCGGGGAAATTAGATCAGCGACATCCCTCCTTTCCTTTAGGAGGAAATTAAAAACATGGATTTGGACAATCTGGCAGATATATAAAGGACTATGATGACTGATAAGAATAGACAAAGTGGAATGAAGTTATGGACTCTGAGTGGCGAATGCTGAGCATGAGATTAGTTTATTGACTATGTTATATATTGATTGTTTTAACTGCTATAGCTGTTTTAATTGCTGTTTTATACGTTTATCTGTATTATTGTGTAGGCATCGAATTGTGCCTTTTGTAAACCGCCCTGAATCCCCCCTCGGGGGTTGAGAAGGGCGGGGTAGAAGTACACTAAATAAATAAATAAATAAAATACTGGATGGGTTTGGTGGGCATTGACCTTGATTTTTGGAGTTGTAGTTCACCTACATCCAGAGAGCACTGTGGATTCAAACAAGGATGTATCTGAACCAAACTTGGCACAAATACTCCATATGCCCAAATGTGAACACTGGTGGAGTTTGGGGAAAATAGATCTTAACATTTGAGAGTTGTAGTTGCTGAGATTTATAGTTCACTTACAATCAAAGAACCCCTTGAACTCCACCAATGAGGGATTTGGGTCAAACTTCCCACATCAGACCCCCATGACCAACAGAAAATACTGGAGGGATAGTGGAAATTTAGTTCACCTACTTCCGGAGAGGACTGTGAATCCAAACAACTGTGGATCTGGACCAAATACCTGATAAGCCTAAATTTGAATACTGATGGGGTTGGGGGAGGGATTGATTTTGTCATTTGGGATTTGCAGTTGCTGCCAAAGGGGTTCCTAAGACCATCAGAGAGATGTGCTTTCGGGTGGTCTTTGGTGACTTCTCTGGAACCCCCCCTGCGGCCTCCCTAGGTGCCCCGACCCCCAGGGTGAGAAACACAGCTCTAGCCAATACCCACCCTTGACTATTTGTCCACTCATCTGTCCACTCATCTATTAGACCAAGGAAAGGAGCTGTTATCATTTACATCCCTGGGTGATAAGATGCCTAAGCAAAACATTAATTAGTTGAGGCATCTGTATAAACTGTGACAGTTTGGTCACACACCAAGATCAGTGTCGTAGGATTGGCTGGGGGGCATTCTTTGCCGTCAGTCCAGCCAGGAGGTCCTGGCGGGCTGGTTTGAGGGTTAAACTTGCTGGCTGTGCACCTTCTTCCTTGGACGCTTTGCCCGCTTGTGAGTGATCTTCATCGCTCGTACGATTATGGCCTCTGGGCCCAAAAGGGAAGGGCCTTTGCCTTGGGGGTTTGGCTCTGTCCTGACCCTTCCTCTCCTCCTTGCAGGCAGCTACGGCACAGCAACCTGGTCCAGATGCTGGGGGTGATTGTGGAGGAGAAGGGCGGCCTCTACATTGTCACGGAGTACATGGCCAAGGTGAGGACTGCCATTGAACAGCCATCTGAACAAAACTGTTCTTGACCTGGAAGAGTCAAAAGAGGAGTGGTGCTAATCCTTTCTCTCTCTTCTTGGTTTGTAGGGAAGCTTAGTGGATTACCTTCGATCTCGAGGGAGGTCTGTGCTCGGAGGAGACTGCCTGCTGAAGTTCTCCCTGTGAGTAGAGCTTCTAGCCTGGTTTGATTCACCTCCATCTCCCATCTCAAGCTTCCTAAGTCCCTCCAGAAGTGTGCTTTCTACATCTTGGAGCTCTTCTATGATAAGGTCAACCAAGTCCAAATGTCTCTTAATAGAGACAGCATTGGTTGCCTTGGTGGATGATCTACGAAGAGAGCTAGACAGGAGAGGGTGTCCCTGATGGTTCTCCTGGACTTCTCAGTGGCTTTCAATACCATTAACCATGGTTATGCTTCTGGGCCATCTCTCCAGCCCATGAGTAGATACACCCATGGTGTTGATAGATCCATGAGGTAGATCTATCTGTGAGGATGATTTCTCCATTAGGGTGACTTGTCCGTGAAGTAGACCTATTCCTTGAGATAGACTTGTTAGTGAAGTAGGCTTTTCCATGTGGTAGACCTACCAGTGAAGTCGACCTATCCATGAGGTACACTTATTCATGAGGTCGATATAGCCTTGGGATGGACTTATCCCTCTGGTAGACTTTCTGTATGAGATTGACCTATCCATGTGGTCGACCTATCCATGAAATAGATCTATCCATGAAGTTGACGTATCCATGGGATGGGCTCATCCTTGTGGTAGATGTACCCTGTGAGATCAACCTATCCATATGGTCAACTTACCCATGAGGTTGAGCTATCCATGAGGAAGACCTCTATGTGAAGGTGATTTCTCCATGAGGGCAACCTGTCCATGAAGTAGACCTATCTGTGAGGTAGACTTATCCATGAGGTAGACTTACCCATAAGGTTGACCTATGCATGTTTTGCTGTGGCTCCTTTCTGGAGGGCTGGACCCAGATGGTGGAGCTGGGGGCCTCTTGGTAACCTGTGGGGTCCCTCAGGGCTCAATTCTGTCCCCCATGCTGTTTGATATTTACATGAAACCACTGGGAGAGATCATCCGGAGTTTTGGAATTTAGTATGTGGGCAATACCTAACTCTGGCACTCATTTCCACGGAATGCCAAGGATGCGGTCCTGCCACCGAACCAATGGCTGTCAGCAGTGATGGACCAGATGAGAGCCAATAAGTTGAAAGTAAATCCAGACAAAACAGAGCTACTCCTGGTCACTTGAAAGGTGGACCAGGGTATGGGATTACAGCCTGTGTTGGATGGGGTTGCACTCCCTCTGAAGACACAGGGCTGATCCTGAATTCATCACTGACCCTGGAACCCCAGGTATCGGCTGTGGCCAGGAACACCTTCACACAGTTAAAACTTGTGCTCCAGCTGCGCCCATACCTTGAGACGGCAGGTTGGGGACGATAATAATAATAATAATAATAATAATAATAATAATAATAATAATAATAAATAATGAATAATGAATAATGAATAATTTTCTCTGCAGAGATGTTTGCGAAGCCATGGAATACCTGGAAGCCAACAACTTTGTCCATCGGGACTTGGCAGCACGGAATGTACTAGTCTCGGAAGACAACATTGCCAAAGTCAGTGATTTTGGGCTGACGAAAGAAGCTTCGTCCACCCAGGACACGGGAAAGCTGCCCGTGAAATGGACAGCGCCGGAAGCACTTAGAGAAAAGGTCTGTGGGAAGTGGGTTTGGTCTCCTGAGTGCACTCGGCTGGGACAGAAGAGACTGAGGGTCTCTTGTTTCCTTCACTCTTGACAGAAATTTTCAACCAAGTCAGATGTGTGGAGCTTTGGGATCCTTCTCTGGGAAATCTACTCCTTTGGACGAGTGCCTTACCCGAGAATTGTAAGTGACGCTTCCTCTGTTTCCATGGCTTACGTTCAGGAGGAAAGATGAATCTCACCCATTTCCAGGATGTAGTAGTTGGATGGCGGTCTGAGACCAGGGTGTCCATCCCACTTCGTAACCTAGAGAGACCCACCAATACTTCCAGTTGTGGGACTTTCCCGGTCCCGCAGTGGTGGTGCTTCTGCTCTCTTTGGAATACCTGAGTGGAGAAATGTCAGTGGTCGTGAGAGGATGGCCTCCTTCACAGTATTGTTGCTTTCCCCTCTCTCTATCATGACCCTTGACTTTTCCACTGGCCATGCCAAAATCCAAAATGTTGGTCCCAGAACCTGCCCTCAATCTATTCATGAAGTTAACATATCTGTAAGGTAGACTTTTCCATGAATTTGACTCGTTCACAAGTTAGATCTGTCTGTAGGATAGACGTCTTCATGAGGTAGACTCACCCATGACGTTGATCAATTCATGAGATAGATCCATGAGGTAGATCGATCTGTGAGGGTGATTTCTCCATTAGGGTGACTTGTCCATTAAGTAAACCTATCCATGAGATAGACCTGTTAGTGAAATAGGCTTTTCCATGTGGTAGACCTACCAGTGAAGTCGACCTATCCATGAGGTACACTTATTCATGAGGTCGATATAGCCTTGGGATGGACTTATCCCTCTGGTAGACTTTCTGTATGAGATTGAACCATCCATGTGGTRYACCTATCCATGAAGTTGGCATATCCATGGGATGGGCTCATCTATGGYGTAGATTTATCCTTGTGGTAGACGTATCCTGTGAGATCAACCCATCCATATGGTCAACTTACCCATGAGGTTGAGCTATCCATGAGGAAGACCTCTATGTGAAGATGATTTCTCCATGAGGGCAACCTGTACATGAAGTAGACCTATCCATGAGATAGACCTATTCATGAGATAGATCCATGAGGTAGACATATCTTRAAGGGTGATATCTCAACGAGGGTGACCTGTCTATGAGGTAGATTTATTCATGAGTTCAATTTGTCCGCAGAGTCYTCATATCTGTGAGGTAGACCTATCCATGAGGCAGACCTATCTGTGAGGATAATTTCTCAATCCATGATGTAAACCTATCCATGTGTTCAACTTATCCACAAGGTTGGCATATCTGTGAGGAAAACCTATGCATGAGGTAGACTGACCCATGGATAGGTCGACTTATTAATAAGATAGATCCATGAGATAGACCTATCTATAAGGATGATTTTTCCATGATGGCAACCTGTTCATGAGGTAGACCTATCAATGAGTTTGACTTATCCAAAAGATCAACATATCTGTGAGGTAAACAGATATGTTGTAGATATGAGGTAGATTGATCCATAAGGTCAGCCTATTCATGAGATAGAGCCATGATGTAGATCTATCTGTGAGGATGATACATCAGTCAGGGTGACCTGTCTGTGAAGGAGACCTATCCATGAGGTTGACCTATTCATGAGATAGAGCCATGATGTAGATCTATCCTTGAGTATGATTTCTCAATGAGGGCTACATGTCCATGAGGTAGACCCATCCACGAGGTCGACCTATTCATGAGATAGATCCATAGTGTAGTCCTATTTGTGAGGATGATATATCAGTGAGGGTGACCTGTCTGTTAGGTAGAATTATCCACAAAGTCAACATATCTGTGAGGTAAACCTATCCATGATGTAGACCTATCAGCGAGAATGACTTCTCCATGAGGTTGACTTATCCAAAGGACGCCTGTGTCTTCCTTCTTCTTCTTTCAGCCTCTAAAGGACGTCGTCCCTCGCGTCGAGAAGGGGTACAAGATGGAGGCCCCCGACGGCTGCCCCCAAATCGTCTACGAGGTCATGAAAAAGTGCTGGAACTTGGACCCTGCCCACCGACCATCTTTCCTCCAACTCCGGGAACAGCTAGAGCATATCAAAGCCAGCGAGCTTTACCTGTGAGGCGGGCGGGGAGGCCAGGCTTCCTTCTCTGGGTGCCGCCGCCGCTCCATCCCTTCCTGCGACCTGGGCAAAGGACCGAGGGAAGCAATACGGTTCTTACGGTGTTTTCTTTTCCTCTGGGAACCCAGGTTCCTCCACTCAAGGGACTGCGTTTCAAGACATGTACTGGACTTTGGGCGTAACGATCCCTCCCCGCGCACCCTGGTTGGTGAACGGGGAGCTGGCGCTGCCTCCTTCCTCGAGGAGGACTTTCCTTTTGTTTCGATATTACGTTTTCCCCGGCAAAGAAAAAGAGAGAAAGCATTGGACCCACGACTCTTCCCTCCCCATTCCTGTAGGAACCCCAATTCTTCTTCTTGGCCGGAGAAGGGCGCGATGATACTCTTTTAGTAGCATGTTCCTCCACTTTCCCGTCCGGTTTCCTCCGCATCGACCAACCTCACGGTTTCCTCCCCTTCGCCTTCCTTCCACCTTTGTGCTTCTCCCAAAAAGCAAAGCAAAACCAGAAATGCGTGCCTTCAATTTTCCGGAAGGAAGACCACGAAGGGCACCCGATGCCAAAATTAAAATGCAGGAAAAGGCCAGCAAGGAAGACATTTTGGGGCGAGTGAATTCCCGATCCATCTCAGATGACCGGAAACCCCCGCATCCGGTATCCTTATCCCCTTCTTTTTATAAAAAATAATAATAGAAAAACAAATCAGATTTTGTTCAATTATTTTTTTATTTTGGGTTGGATTTCTTTCTTTTTTTCAAAAATTGTTATTATTATTATTATTATTATTATTTCAGGCTGCACCGGCTTAAACAGACAAAACATCCGCCGTTTTTGCTGAGTTTTACAAAAATTGCAAAAAAAAAATCTTATTTTTTAATGTAATGGTTTCAAGGAAAAAAACATGTTTAAAACACGCCTATACACACACGAACACACACACACACACACAGGCACTTGCTTGGAAAAAGAACCAAGGTAAACTCACCCTGCTCTTTGACCAAAACGTCGTCCGGGGGAGTTTTCGAATTGCAAAGCCACGCCGTGGACAACTGTGGGATTGTGTCTTTATTTCGTCGCTTCAAACAGTGTTTGCATGCTGTCTCCAGAGGCCTTTTTCCAGTCCTGTCTAGTGCTTTATGCTCATATAATGCTGCCAACTGTGAGATTAAACTGTAATAATAATAATAAAAGAAAACCATTCCATACGAACACACGAGCTGCCCGTCTCGGCTGTGGTCTTTTCGCTGGGTTCGCAAGTGAGATTGGGATCAAATAATAATAATAATAATAAGGTTGGGACCAAATAATAATAATAATAACAACAACAACAACACTTTATTTATACCCCGCCACCATCTCCCCAAGGGACTCGGAGCGGCTTACATGAGGCCAAGCCCAACAACACATCAAAACAACAAGCAATAAACAAAAATAAACAATACAGTTAATATAACTCATAGGTAGACAATAACACATAAGAATTTAAAAACCTATGGCTGGGCCTGATGTCAAGCCACAGTGACTCCCCTTTGGCCAGAAAAAGCAGGGTATAAATATCATCATCATCATCATCATTATTATTATTATTATTAGCATTCGAAAATACATTATACAGTCTTAGACGCTTGGGAAGTGTTTGACTTGTGATTTTGTGATACGAAATCCAGCATAGAGATCTCATTTGCTGTGACATACTGTGTTTTTTTGTCAGTAAAATAATAATAATAATAATAATAATAATAATAATAATAATAATAATAATGGTGCATCTACACTGTAAGAATTTATGCAGTTTGATACCATTTGAGCTGCCAGGGCTCGATGCGATGGAATCCTGGGCGTCTTCCTCTTCTGCTAAAGAGTGCTCATGTCTCACCAAATCACACATCCCAGAATATTTACACTATACGAGGGGTGTTCACTAACGATTTCCCCTGACCCACTCCCTGTGGACTGAGAGCAGTGAAATTGGTCACCCTTATGAGTCCTTCTCTACATAGGTACTAGTAGAAGTCGACCGGTTGCTCCAAAAGCCACGTTGTGACTTCAAAAACCAGAGTCTCCTCACCTGAGAAATGCTTGCCCTTCAAGCATAACTTCCTTGTTAGAGAGAGGTGCAAGTCCAGGGCAACCCCTGCTATTGATGAACATACCATCCAGCAAGTGGAGGTCGCCATTTTGGAAAATCGCTGCATAATCATTCACCATCTAGCCCAAAATGTCACGATTAGTGTTGGGTCTGTGGAAAAAAATCACCCAAGACCATCTTCCCATGCATCAGGTATCCACTTGCTGGGTCCACCGGCTGCTCACACCTTTCCAGAAGCAGGAACGAGTTGAATGCTCTCCTACTCTTTTGATAATGATGTGCCATGGAAACCAGTAGGACTTTGTCAACAGACTGATAATCACCCAGGAGGAAATCTGGGTCCATCCCTCTGATCCTGGACTCAAGTCCAGTCAATGCCGTGGAAGCATCCTGACTCACCGCCTCCGAAGAAGGCACGTGCCCAACTCTCAGTAGGCATTTGATGAGATGAAAGGTTTATGGTGAGGATTCCTCATCAGATGATGGAGTCGAGAACTGGCATTGTCCATTCCAATGTGGTCGAACTTTGGTGCAGACAGCTCCAATTCCAGGCTGACCCCACTCTGCTATTGATGGACACACCATCCAGCAAGGGGAGGTCACCATTTTGGGAAATTGCTGCATAACCATTCACCCCCCTAGTCCAAAATGTCAAGATGAGTGAGGGGTCTGTGGAGAAAATCACCCAACACCACCTTCACATGCAGAAGGTATTGGCTCGGTGGATCTCCCAGCTGCTCACACCTTTCCAGAAGCAGGAATGAGTTGGATGCTCTCAGGCTCTCTTGACAATGATGTGCTATGGAAACCAGGAGAACATTTTCAACAGACATCACACAGGATGAAAGCTGGGTCCATCACTCTGATCCTGAGACTCAAGTCCAGTCGATGCAATGAAAATCTCCTGACTCGCCTCCTCCAAAGAAGGCACATGCCCAATTCTCGGCAGGCAAGGTCATGCTCACAGTATTTTGGGTCCGGCACGGAATCATATTGATGGAGCTCCATCACTATCCATGATCACCAGGGCAGACTAGGCTTCACTGCTGCGGACATTGCGGGAGGCCATGCAAACCAAGAGACAATGTTGCATTCTCACCAAAGGTGTCCACCCGCCTTCTGCAAGACAATGCACCCGTTCACAACTCACCTGTTGCCCAAATGGAAGAAGCATGCTCCTCTAGCTTTGGAATTGGATTGCATCCCCCTTATTCACCTAACCTCGCGCCATCGGACTTCCACCTCTTTCCAACAAGGAAGGTATTTTGGAAGAGCTAGCCTTTCTAAGGTGAGGAGACTCTGATTTCCAAAGTCACAACATAGCTTTTGGAGCAACCTGTTGATTTCTACAAGCGAGGTGCTTACAGCTGCTTAAAAAGATGGGAGAAGTGTGTGTCCCTAGATGGTGGCACCCATGGAGAGAAGGTGTGCCAAGTTTCATTGCTCTCAGCCCACAGGAAGTGGGTCAGGGGACATCTTGGATGAACGCCTCGTAGATATACAAACCAAGAGTGAGATGAAGTCCTAAGTCCTGCCAGTGATTCGCCGCTAGGTGGCTCTCCGGCCCCACATTGCAAACTGGGAGCGCATTTGTTTTGCTTGTGTTCCAACTCTATGCGCTATTCATTCACTGCCACACATTTTCCTCTCCAAACAAGCGGAGCATATTGTTCTCCCATGTTTGGCCTTGGCACCCTTTTACATTGGAAGATAGTTTGGCAAGACTGGAGGCCTGGAATTAAAAAGCTAGAAGGGGTACCCAAAGGCCATCTAGTCCAACCCCATTCTGCCATGCACCATCAAAGCCCTCCCAACAGATGGTCGTCCAGCATCTTCAAAGATGGAGGATATACCAACCTCTTTTGCTTTGAGGTTGAGAAGCCCTTCCTAATGTTTCCGTAGTTTGAATCCATTGTGTCGTAGCCTATCAAAAACCATCTTGGCCCGTCTTCCACGTGATTAAACTTGTTGCATTTAAAGAAATAAGCTCTCAGTTACTCAAGTAACGGGCAAAAGATTGAGTGTAATACACTAGACCACCATTTCTCAACCTGGGGGTTGGGACTCCGGGGCAGGGATCATGAGGGGGATGTCAGTGGTCACTAAAGACCATCAGAAAACACAGTATTTTCTGATGGAGTTCTGGATGCCAAGATTGGTTCAATTTCTTTGTTGGTGGGGTTCAAGGGGCTCTTTGATTGTAGGTGAACTACAAATCCCAGCAACTACAACTCCCAAATGTCAAGGTCTATTTCCCCCAAACTCCACCAGTGTTCACATTTGGGCATATTGAGTATTTGTGCCAAGTTTGGTCCAGATACAGTGCTCTCTGGATGTAGGTGAACTACAACTCCAAAATTCAAGGTCAATACCCACCAAACCTTTCCACTATTTTCTGTTGGTCATGGGAGTTCTGTGTGCCAAGTTTGGTTCAATTCCACCATTGGTGGAGTTCCGAATGCTCTTTGATTGTAGGTTAACTATAAATCCCAGCAACTACAACTCCCAAATGTCAAGGTCTGTTGCCCCTAAACTCCACCAGTGTTCACATTTGGGCATATGGAGTATTCGTGCCAAGTTAGATTCAGATCCATCAATGTTTGGGTCCACAGTGCTCTCTGGATGTAGGTGAACTACAACTCCCAAACTCAAGGTCAATGCCCACCAAACACTTCCACTATTTTCTGTTGATCATGGGAGTTCTGTGTGCCAAGTTTGGTTCAATTCTATCATTGGTGGATTCAGAATGCTCTTTGATTGTAGGTGAACTATAAATCCCAGCAACTACAACTCCCAAATAACAAAATCAACCCACCCACAACCCCACCAGTATTCAAATTTGGGCGTATCGGGTATTTGTGCCAAATTTGGTCCAGTGAATGAAAATACATCCTGCATATCTGATATTTACATGACGATTCATAACAGTCGCAAAATGACAGTTATGAAATAATTTTATGGCCGGGAGGTCACCACAACATGTATTAAGGAGTCACACCATTAGAAAGGTTGAGAACTTAACTAAAATTAAGAAATGAACTAAAATTGCATACCTTCACAAAGCTGTTTTTGCAATACAGTAAAGCTATTGCATTAAGTGTGTCTTTATTGGCTTTTAATGACTCTGTTTCAACATAAACATCAAGTCAATAAAGTAACAACAACAACAATAATAACAAGACTTCATTACGGTCCACAACCAGCACAGAGTCAATTACGTATGGTATAATAATATGGGTCGTGGTATGAATTAGGCCTATATTTAATAGTAACTCTTAAGCAACCAGAAACAACATTGAAGAGTCATCTGGTTAACCGAGAGTCTCTACCGTACATAAAAACATTAGGAGATTGGGAACAATCTCTGGGGAAGAAGGAAAGGCAAGCTGTCCTCTCGTTCTTCTCTCCATCGCTTGGGTCCCTAACTGGAGAGGTGCCCGGAGCCATTGCTTCCACTGAACCATAGATAATCCGACTCCTCTGCATGCGCATGTGCGCACACGCACATACATGCTGCCCTTCCTCATTCTGTCCCTTTGGGAAAGGAACCACAAAAAGATCATGCATTTCCATATAACCGCCTAGATTGATGCGTAATTCCCAAGCTTGCGTTTTCCTTTCTTTCCAGCAGACCGGACATGGTTTTCCTCTCTCTTTTGGGGAAGTGTCATGGCCACATGCGCTCAAGCCAGAGCCCAGATGACAAGGGAATTGCGTCCTGGGAATCGCCTTCTCGGGCAACGTGGGCTTCTATTCCCTGGCTGGCAGGGAAGGAAATAAATAAATCAATGCCACGGCACACGGCCTGGGCTCCCAAAATAGCTTTTTGCGCCCAGGGCATTCGCAGGCAGAGGAGTACTTGCTCCATAAAGCCGGCTGCGCATGGTGGCGCAGCTCAGAGCTCAGCGCATAAATAATAATAATAATAACCAGGAATGAACTTGTTTGCTCAACATAGTGACCCATGGAGTGAGTGAGTGACCCAGTGGGGAAAGGCGCTTCCTCCAACGCTTCTCTCTTTGGAGATTTCAACGGGTGCCTCCATGCTCCAGGATTAGTGCAGTCTGACACCACTTTGAACTGCCACGGCTTAATGCTATGGAGTTGTGTGAGTTGTATTTTGCTCA